GGGGGGGGGGGGGGGGGGGGGGGGGGGGGGGGGGGGGGGGGGGGGCGCATGTTTTGCATGCCGTATCTAGTTGCTGGGCCATTGACCACGCATCCTCGACAGAACGGAGCACTGTTCCCTGTTCCCACAGGATCGATCACCGATGGCCAACTGTTCGTTCCTACTTTGCCAGAGGTCGCTCTAATGTTTATCGCTGCCCGCCTTTTCAGCCCCATTCTTGTACGACAGGCCAGGTAGGGAAGGGATTTCAATCAAGCATGGAGCTCGTCTGTTCACGCATTTGTCGTATCCGTTGACAAGCAGAAGCACCACAAATGGCGTCTTCGTTCTCTTTGAAAGATACTCACATGATTCAGCTTTTACTCATACTATGTTCATGCTTGCGTCGTTTCCAATTTCCAGCACAAGCACCACATCCGATCGACTTCGGACTTGCACATGAGGCAGCTACCTATTCAGCTACCTGCGAGCTTGAACCAACAGGGGAAGTAAAAGCACTGCCGGGGTGTTTCTGTCTACGAACCGGTGGCTTTCGAGCAGCGACTTTCCCCCGCCATGGTGCTGGGTGACGTCCGCTGCACCCATCCAAAGCAGGCCAGCTCGTCCGCAGCTGCTTGGGCCGCCTGTTTGATCGACAGGGCATAATGTTGATCGACACAATGAATCGCCTCCCACAGGAGTGGAAGAACGGATCTCTTCCTCCATTGGCATCCTTGTGCTGAGCAACATGCACGAGTCGAATCGCGTCCCACAGTTGATCGACAGAGTTACCGGTGGAAGTTGGTCGGCATGTGGTGAGCCATATACACTAATCGAACAATCTCCCACAGGCGGGGAAGGACGGGGGTTTGACTCATTGGTGTCCTTGCTCTCAGCCCAATATTTCGGTTAAGACAGTAATCGCAGAACTCCGTCTCCGGCGTGTTGGGCTTACTGGTAGATTCGGGTCTACGGGCCAGAGGCTGGAACTGATTCAGTAACGTATTGGCAACAAAAAGACGGGCCGATATCATCTGACATGGACACAGTACCGCCGTAAATAGTGCAGAACCGGAACGTGCAATTGTACGGTTCACCGGAGAGACAAAACCTCGAAGGGATTCGTACGATTTAGCATGACCAACTGCAAGAGTGTCGTCTTGGCTTTCACACTACAGTGCCTTGGAAGCACAAAACGCGCACCTACTCAGATGGGCAGTGTAGGTAGGTGGCAACTTCGCTCTGAACAACCTGTACCATATGTGGACCAGACTTCAGTCTCGCTTTGCTCTGAAAATGAAGAACCTGCACAAATATGTCGACCAGATTTCAGTCTCACCTTGCTCTGAAAATAAACAACCCGCACATACATGTCCACCAGATTTCAGTCTTACAGGCTGGTCTTATTCACGAGGATAGACACAAGGTGTGGAATATGGATTTCCAGATATTGGAATCTTTTCCGGCGTTACGGGACGGGCCTTGAAACTGCTGCCGCGCGTGGTATGGTGAGGACGAAGCATAAGCGATGGCGCTTATGTGGAGATTGGCAATGCTGTTCGATGCATCTCTGAAGGCAATAAATTGACATGGCATGCACTGCCAGAATACGGCCGATATTGAGTCTGGTCGAAAAGCAAGCAAGATGTGATCGATTGCACAACAACTAACCTCAGCGTATGCATCGAATAGGCAGCCTTGGTCAACCGTTGCCTCGTATCGGAAGCCGTGATAGCGATCCTAGCGCGGTTTTGTCGAAAGACGCGCATGCAGACGATGTAGCAGCGGGGTAGGGTAAGGTTCGCGTGGGCATGTATGGGTGTATGGGTGTATCTTGGGGGGGTATGGAAGGCAGGGGAGAGATGTGGCAAAAACGGGAAGACAGAGACAGAGAGACAGGCAAAGAGAGAGAGAGAGAGAGAGAGAGAGAGAGAGAGAGAGAGAGAGAGAAACAGAAACAGCAATGATATCGAGAAAGGCGACAGGTGAGAGAGGGCGACAGGGAAATCTGCAGCAGCACGTAAAGGGTTGGAATCACGCTACACTTTTACCATCACCCTATGCATCGTACAACNAACCCGAGCAGACTTCTACGCAAGCGGCACACCCCCTGTTTATCACACACCCGAACACACTCTTTGGGTGTTCCGACGTGTTATCACACCCCATTTTATCACACCCCCTTTTTTATCCCACTCCCAAACCCTCCCTGTGGGTGGTCGCATGTGCTACCACACCCCCTGGTTTATCACACCCCCTGAGGAGCTCCTGCGAGCTAGGCTTTATCACCGGGGTACACAAGATACCACACCCCCCCCACAATACCACACCCGGTGATAATATTTTTGAAGCCCAAAATGTTATCACCGGGGTGTGGTATCTTGTGTAGGATACGGTATCACGACAGAGCGCTGAAAGGGTGATATAAGAACACCCGATCTTGATTTTGACTGATATCGAAACCCACCGCAAGACCACTCAGCGACAACACAAGAGATTCATAGGACCAGTTGGGACCTATCTTTCGGCAAGAGCACAGAACTCCGCAAAAATGTCTCCTTGCCTCCAACACGTGTCTTTTATCATCATGTCACGCAGCCTACAGCCTCCACACCCCTTCTCTAAAATCAAGACATACTCTTCCACCTGTCTAGAATCAATGCAAAAACAGGCGTCTACAGCGGGTGGCGCAACAAGGTCTCTGCGTTGCAAAGTGTCTTATGTTCGATAGGAAATCAGCAGAGGACATCATGGAGAAGCGACCTGCGCATTGGGACGCCCAGATCTGTTGCTGGGCTTGTGCTGTTGTTGACGGCTGCAGCCTGATGCGGCCCGAAATGTCCGCAAAATCTTGGTCCATACCACTTCACCATCCACTGCTGCTGTACGCGCTGTCACAGACGCAATCCTTCTAATCGACTTTGGGACCCAGATTGGTCAACCTTTCTGGGGCGCAGCTGCAACCCTTGACAGCACGGCCCCGGCAACAACAGGTTCTGAGCTTGCCAACGCGCAGGGGTCGCCAGACAACTTTCAAACTCGGATTCCCGCTTCCCGAATGCGGGTTAGCACGTGAAAATCCAGAAATATGCGGGAATTCCCGCCTTCTGACTTTGAAAGCGGTGGCGGGATATTCGTTTTTTCGACGCGGGAACCCCGTCGATCTGGCGTGTGTTTTGGTGTAAAGAGTCAATATTATTCCCGCGTGTTTTCATATGGTGCCTTTCAAGCCCCATATCAGAAATTCCCGCGGTAGAACTTTCCATCGCAGGCAGGAAGCAAACACGCCGCTTTTTTTTGCGCACAACGACAACAATAACCCACCCTCTGTTTGCCACACCAAGTCTCAGGGAATGCAACACGAGCACGAAGCCGGCATCACCAGCCCTTGCATGAAAACCTGAAATACACACACACCTACGCATACCTGAAATGCACTTGCCAGAACGCCTTTCAAGCTCAAACCCGTTGGAGTGTGCATCACTTTGTTCACTCCATTCCATTATTCGGTGGAGCGTGGGCATGCGTGTGCGAGTTCGATCAACTGGGCGCAGCGTGGTCCTTCACTCTGGGCCTTTGTGCGGTGGTGCAATAGGCGTGCAGCTCGAAGTCGAAAAAACTTTGGAGAAGACAGCAGAGTAGCTTATTTCTGGGCATGCGAGTACGAAGTATCCGCGGGCGTTTTCGCGTTTGTTTGTGCACCAGAAAAAGCAGCAAACAGCGGAACGACGGTTGGCCTTCGTCCGTGAAAATCCGAAAAAGGCGGGAGGGCAAATTTGAAACCACCATGGGGATTCCCGCATCTACTCACCCAACCGAAACGGGAAAGTAAACCGCCCAAATTTCGCCAAAATCGGATGCGGGAGACGGTAATCGAGTTTGAACGATGTCTGCTACTCTAGTCTATATGTTGGACGGGGTTAGACTAGAAACTGATTGCCGCGGTTGCCATCACCGCCTTAATCTACGTGGTTAAGAGCTACTGCAATAGAATTAGAATGTGGGCATATCTCGAACGGGTAGTCTTTCTGTTTGTGTATTTATATTTCCTAGAAAATAGAACTTAGGTAGCGCAATACGTGCTGCTACGTGTGATAGCGTAGGGGTCGATCGGATACAGCAGTGGGGTACTCGGTTTAGCTAGCCCCGTTTCGCGACATGCCCTGCTTAGCGATAACCAAAATCACAGGGTACCGCCACACCCCAGCCGCATAACTGCCATGCAGCTGTTAGTTCGGTTTAGCGACTTGCCCTGAACAAATTAGCGGCCACATTTCGTCGTGACACTATAATAGTGAAGGGGTCGCTAGCCCCCCACTACCACTACTCCGAAAAGCTACGGCAATAGTGCTGAAGTACGGTTGTTGCCTCGCCAGAAGAACACCCGAGTGCGCGTTTTTAGTGTTGAAGAGAAAGCGTGCAGATAGTCTGCTGGATTTTGAAAAGGGTCGCCAAATCGGGCCCACCACTGCTGTATTGTACAGTCGGCGGTCCTCAACAACGGTACCCTCAGCAGCGGGATGTCCTCAATAGCCGCACCGAAGTCGCTTGGCACAAATGCAATTCTCAGTACAAATTATCCCTAATAGGAATAGCGGCACTGCCCTCTGTAGCGGCACCAAAACCTCTTGCCACTACCTACCGCTAGGACCACCGACTGCTGTACTCCGAAAAGATGGGTGTGGCGGAAAACTGCTACACTGCTGTACACCGACCGATTGCGGTTGTTGCTGTAGCGAGATTTCGTGCTCAACGACACCCGAGTGCGCGTTTAAATGTTAAGAGATGCGTGCGGACATTCTCTGCTGCTCACAGCATCCATCCGCGGGGTGAGAGCAATCGGCGCACAGCAGCGTTCGGTGTACGAACATTATCCGGCGGGTGCATACTCTGTCTTGTTTCTGTTATTTTTCGGCCTGGTCCCTTATTGTCCTCGCTTTTTCATTTTATTTTCTCTTTCCTCTCTGCTTCCTTTTTTTTTTTTCTCTTTTCTCTGTTTTCTTCTTTTCTCTTCTCTTGTGTTCTTTTCTCCCTTTTTCTGTGCCAGGTGGCCTTGTCTCTGCTTGCGTTGTGAAGTACCGAGATTGAACCAAGGGGGTGTACCTCATTCTCTCCGGCCCGTGATGGTGACTCCTATGTACACTCAGTTGTTACCTCGCAAAGCGCGCAGAGGGGGTGGAGGACTCAAGAATATCTGTCGTTGATTTCTATTGACTTGCGTACCCCTCGGGGCCAGTTTATTTGAGTGTACCTTTTTCGGGTAAGTTAACCTGTGAGCACGGGAATCGACCGCGTCGAGCGTTGGATCAGTACGGACATATGAAGGTACTGGGTAGCGAGAGATCGGAACGGTTTTTAACAACATACAAAAATGATTGTGAATCCTGTTGTACATGCAATACAACACCAGTCCCGACTATCTGACTTTGCGCTAGACGCGACAGAACTGGATGGATCTCACATTGCCAGGTTCTTTTCTAGTTATTACCTACCCCTGGTAAAGAGCAGTGGCAAAATAGGGTAGCGCCAAGCAAGGCGTATCCAACATCCAACCTGCATGTACGACGGGTGGGAGTTTGATGTGTGTTGCGGAAAGGCCAGCGAAACTAAACCTGCATTCTCCAGCCCTTGGGGATGTTGAAATCGTCCACAAGTTCCGCCGACACCACCGGGGCCAGCGCCAGCAACAGTAGGGCATTCGATAGCCAACACATGTTCGCCCTGCAGCTCTCGTTGCCTCTCTCCTTGAACCAGTGAAGCAAGAGACACCAACGCTGCTACAACTCAGCGCTGCGCACAGCCCAAAAAATAGTCGGGGCCCCGCAAATTCGCGGGGTTCCGCAGATTCGCGCACCTGCAGAAAATGCGGCGAGATCTGCCGCCGCCTACCCCACCTAGCGCAGGCGACAGAGGGAGCAAGAGGCCACAAGGGAGGCAGACGTCTGACCAGGTGGGCTTTGAATCACACTGGGACTACTGGACAACTTTTGTTCTGACTTAGAGTTAGCGCCACCTCGAGATATTCGAAGATTGCCGTGAGCGTACCACCACGCGATGCCGCCGCACACAACCCACCGGGGTCCTTGTGCTCACCTCCCAGGAAGCGCTGCGACCGTGTTGCAGAATACAGCTGGTCATTCAGTGTGGCAAACTCAGTTGGCTATCTAGCACAGAAAGTTTCAGGCAATTCCATCCTGAGGAAACTTAGCTTGGCCGTGTTGAACATTGAAAATCTTGGCGGCGGCGGGGGAACATGCGCAAGCTCTCCACGCTTACAGCAACGCGTTACGTCGCCGAGAAACCTTGATGGTCGACGACGTGGCTAATTTCGATAAGGCGAGAGTTAGGACGTCGGGCCTCAGGAAGTTTACAACTTATTCGCCTTGACAGTGCTGAATCAGACCTACATAAAGCACATTTTGTGGTGACAAGCGGTGGCGATCCAGCGGGACGCAGCTCGCACTGAACCGATGCTGCAACAGCACGACACATGCTCTCCGAAAACCCTCCACTCATGATCACTGCTTTAGATGAAGGGTTAGCGGTTTGAATCCTACAAAAGATTTAGCACGTGCGAAAAGGCTGTCAAGGGAGGTCGTCATGACGTTGTCAAGCGTGGAGATAATTACTCCGTATAAGGGAGCTGCAACAGAAAATCTACCCCGCTTGTGCCGCGTTCAATCCCGTAGGCGGGCTTAGACCTAACTTGCGCTCGTGGTCGTTGCTGTTGCCTGGGTTCGTCCTTTTCCATTGATTCGGGCTTGGGGCGCGAAGTCTCCATCTGTTGTGAACGGGATCAGCCCACTGCATGCGGACTGGACTATTGTTTGAAGCGGCGCGGCGCCACAGTCGTGGGCGGGTGGCGCCGCCCTCGCACCCTGACCGCACCCCGCTCTCCCCGCGCGCAACCGCCAACGACAACGGCGCGATGACACGAGCGACTTCCCCGAGCTGCAGTGGCGGGGACACGGGTTCCCCTAGTCGTCAACAGGTTCGCAGCGCGAAGGAGTGCGCGAGATTGACTGCGACTACGCCCAGGAAAAAAACGGGGAAGCGCGCCCCCGTAAATTCAGGAGCACGTGTGAGGGGTTCGGGAGGAGGGTCGGGAAGGAAGCGCGTGCGGTCACGGGCCCGAATTTCGGTGGGCACTAAACAGTCGCAGAGCAGGCTACAAACGCAGGTGGAGGAAAGGTTGGCGACGGCAGACTTGGACAAGGAGCATGGGGAGCAGCTGGCTAAGGCGGAGGAAGAGTCCCGACGGCGTAGGAAACGCCTTCCCGATGAGGCGTGCGCGGAAGCTCGACAAAATGCGCCTGGGCCTGCATCTGGTCTTCGACGCCAGAGTTTAGGTGGGAAGAGCAGACAAGTCGGGAGTACGGAGACGCAAGGCCGCGCTATGCCCTGCCGTAAACCGGTGTGTGGCTGGGTGACGACTACCCCGGGTCACCAGTGCAATAAATGTCCTGAAGGGGTCACGCACTGGGCGGAAGATAGGTTATGTACCGCGTGCCATCGACCGCCCAGCGAGAGAGGGTTCGTCCATCTGCATGTCAAACGCATTGACTCGGCCCGCTCCCTATTGGCCGACCTGCCGTCTGGCGAGGCGGGGGTTGTGGCGATGCTGCGTCAGTTTAACCCCCAACCTGGCGGGTGTCTCTGCCAGCGAGACGGCTGTCTCATGGCCCGCCTGGGTCGCCACGAAAAGAACAAGGCCACGCACACATGCCAAGGACCTGGAGACAACATGCCATGTTCGGTGTCAGGAGTGAAGAAGAAGCAGGGGAGGTGGTATTCCGTGTCTGGCGATGAAGAAGGTGGGAGGGTTAGGGTGTCAGCGGGAGGCGGCGGTATGGTGTGCCAGGCCTGTAACCAACGGCGTGCCCGTGAACGGAAGAAGTCCTTATCGGTACGACAGCCAGGGGATGGCGGGTCCGGAGTTGCTGGAGCTTCCTCGTCGTCCCAAGCGCCAGCCATTGGGAGGGCGGACGTCGTGGGGTCCAGCACCCAGAGGACAAGGACAGGCAAGGGAGCATCCACCGACGAGGGCTCTGGCATTGCGACTGGCCGAGCGCTTGGGCGACATGTCAAAGCGGCGTCGATTGTGCGCTCGCGGGTGGAAGGGTCCGTAAAAGGCGGGGAGATCCTTTTCTGGAAGGACGTTGCGAAGTGGTTGACGGCCGAGCGAGCTAAGCTCGGCGAGGAAAGGCTGCAGGGCGGCTCCGTACGGGAGAAGGTGAAACAAATGTTCGATAGCATCGGCCGTTCGTCGGACTGCAACGCGAGGGTGGTGGATATCCGAGGGAGCAGGGGTGCGGGAGGAGACGGACGCGAGAAAGCTCTCTGTCTGTTCCCGAAAGATCTATCCGACGAAGCTGTCGTTGGGTACCTCCTACGGATGCGTAAAGCGGAGGGAGCGACCCTGAAGTCTGAGCTGGAAAGGGTTGCTCAAGACCCTGCGGACCCCCACGACCCTGTCTTCGAGGAGGAGAGGATGGCGGTGGTCAAGACTGCGGGGGAGATTGTCCGGCGTGATATTGAACTGGAAAAGAGCCTGCACAACGCGCGTCCCCCAGGTCAGTCAAACATCAACGTGGAAGAGTTGGAGCGGCCTGTGGAACGGACGGCGGATACCCTACTTGCAATGCCCCCCACGACACTAGGATTCTTCCAGAGCGTCACCGACGTGGACCTCAATGTCGAGCAGAACCCTGCGGATCCGCCCAAGGATGCAGGGCCTTGCAAGGTGTGGGAGCGCGGGTGGCGAGAGGAGTTTGAAAAGGGTATCGGCGTTATGGACAGGCCAAGTCCAGCCACAGCCGGGTCGATGGGTGAAACGACGGTGGGCTCTGCTGGTGGAGCCGGGAGTGGTGACGTCGGCGCAATATCGGGGGGGGTGCCGGTCCTCCCGGCGTCTGAGACACGTGCGAGGGCTGTCGATAAATTCAACCGGTGTTGCCGGTCCATTCGTCGACGGTTGACGGTGATGTGCACAAGCGTCGTTAAGTCCGTGCTGGGCAGCCGGTACATGCCCTCACACGCCATAAAGGCGACCCAGTGGGCGAAGTCGAAGAATACTCCCCGACCCGTGCTCAACTTTATCGCAGAGCACTTGGGATGTGCCACCGATTCTCAGGTGTACCATCGAGAGTCCAAGTTCGCCCGGGTGGTTGAAGACTCCAACCTTCTTGCCAAGTGCGCGAAGTGTGCTGCATTTTCTCAGGACAACGTTGACTTCGAGCCCCGTGTCGGAGTGAGGCAGGGGGAAGGTCCGTACATCCCGTGCGTGGCGTGTGTGGCGAACTGGGTTGGGGAGGAGGTGGGCACGCTCCACGATGCGGGCACGTTGAAACGACTCAGCGAGTTGAGTGTGGACGACATTCTCGTTGGATCAGACGCGGCGGAGGGAGAGCGGAGGTATGGGGCTTTCTTAGCTACGCTATTCGGAGCCGTGTCCAAGTCTGAGCGAATCAGGTCGGCGGAGGGAGGGCCGTTGTGGTGTTTCGAGGCCCAACTCAGGGAGGTGAGTTGCGAAGCATTTTTTTTTTTTTTTTTTTTTTGGTTAGCCGGTGCCGAAATTTGCTCTATTTTGCGGGGTACCAATTCCGGAAAAACTGAAATAGGCGTTGGCTTTTCTTCTTTTTTGCCCCCCCCCCGTATTTTTTGCCCTTCTTTTTTGCCTTTTTTTTTTTTCTTTCTCTCTCCGTGCCTTTGTGCTAATTGTTTGGCACGACAAGCCTTGCCCCCCCCCCCTTTCTTCTCTCTCTGTTGTGTATAATAGGCGTTGGCCTTTGTTTTTTTTGTTCTTTCTTTTTTGCCTTTTTTTTTTTCCCTCTCCCCTTGTCTTTGTGCTAAATCTTTGGCACGGCAAGCCTTGCCCCCCCCCTTTTCTTCTCTCTATGTTGTGTATAAGAAGAGGCGTGGGCCTTTGTTTTTTTTGTCCTTTCTTTTTTGCCTTTTTCTTTTTTCCCTCTCCCCATGTCTATGTGCTAATTCTTTGGCCCGGCAAGCCTTGCCCCCCCCCCTTTCTTCTCTCTGTGTTGTGTATAAGAGGCGTTGGCCTTTGTTTTTTTTGTCCTTTCTTTTTTGCCTTTTTCTTTTTTCCCTCTCCCCATGTCTATGTGCTAATTCTTTGGCCCGGCAAGCCTTGCCCCCCCCCCTTTCTTCTCTCTGTGTTGTGTATAAGAGGCGTTGGCCTTTGTTTTTTTTGTCCTTTCTTTTTTGCCTTTTTCTTTTTTCCCTCTCCCCATGTCTATGTGCTAATTCTTTGGCCCGGCAAGCCTTGCCCCCCCCCTTTTCTTCTCTCTGTGTTGTGTATAAGAGTCGTTGGCCTTTGTTTTTTTTGTCCTTTCTTTTTTGCCTTTTTTTTTTTTCCCTCTCCCCATGTCTTTGTGCTAATTCTTTGGCACGGCAGGCTTGCCCCCCTTCCTCTCTTTGTTGTGTTCAATAGGCGGCGTAGTAGTTGGCCTTTTTTCTTTCTTTTTTTTTATCTTCTTGCGCCTTTTCCACCCATCCTTTTAATTCGCCTTCTGCGGCAAAAGCGTCCAAACACACAAAGAAAGTCTGACCGAAAGACGTGTGATGGAAAATGTGCTATTCCTTTGGCACGGCAAGCCTTGCCCCCCAAATTTCCTCTCTCTGTTGGGTCTATTCTTTTTTTCTTCTCTTTTTGCTAGCAACCCATTGTGCCATTCTGCATCAGCACAACAAACAACGCCAACGTCTGATGACTACTGTATGTGTTGCAAGACAAGCAGCTTACAGGCACGCTCCGCCCTTCTCATGTCTTAAGCAACAAAAAAGAGAGAAGTAAGTTGTGTTTACTTCGGCGTTGAAATGTCTTTGTCCTCTCTGTTCATTGTTGTGGTGTTTGTGATTTTGTTGCACGCTCAGAGGTAACTCCAACATGAAGTACTATTAGTGTTGTAACGCATGAACAAGAGTCGCTGATTCAGTGCGTATGTGTTTGGTTATGCATTCTGACGTTTGTTTTGCATGCCCCCCGCTTCGTGATGATCGTACCGTGCCCGTAGGACGTTACGCCGGATGCGAGGTCAAACTCTACAGGAAAGTACGCCTTCGTCCAGCGCGCCAGCACCAAGAGCTACACCGACATGAAGAGGATAATTGACCGGATCCTTGACATATGGCGCGGAACCCAGGCCGGGAACGATGGTGCACCGTGCATCATCGCGGGGGACGAGGAGACATACCGATTCATATACCACCTGATGAAGCAAGACCCCGACAACTACCGTCAAATCCGGCGATATCCGGGGGACTGGCATCTTCTGCTGCACATGGCGAAGGCTCTCCTCAGGCGGTACTGGGGGGCTGGGATCGAGTTTATGGCGTGCGAGTTAGGAACGGACAACAGCAAATCGGGCGACGGCAGCAATTATCGCCGAGCACACCACCAGCTGTGCGTGATGTTTGAAGCGCTATGGATTTTGATCCTCGAGGTGTGGCGGGAGGAGCGTCAGCAGCGGGAGAGTGCGCCGGCAGAGTGCGATGACGTGTCGGCGGAGGAGGAGGGCGTCGCTGCAGAGGACGCGATCGACATGGATGCTGTCCTGGCTTGGGTCAAGAGGCGGGCAGATGACGACAAAACGTTCGCCATTTGGGCGCAGTTCCTTCTGCATGACTTCCCGGTATTTGTGCTCTTCTCTTACCCTTCGTATTCCGCCCCAGGCTAATCCATACACTTGAACGTTCCGCTGCGAGAGGCGGAATGGGATGCTGGCTGATAAGTCAAGGGAACGGTCGGGGGGGGGAGTGTGGTGCTGGGACGACAGCAGGGACTGGCCGTTGGGGAGGAGGAGAAGTTGTTGTGAACATGTACTGTTGAACTTGATTTATAGTCTTGTATTTTTTTCTTTGTTGTGGTTGGCACTTTCCCATAACTTTGACTGGACATGTCTCTTCTTGTGATTTACGATTTGTTATGTGTTCTTCGAACCATTTGGGACTTACTTGCGTGCCGTCCCTAGAATATACTCATTAGCATCATCATTAAAATTTTAAGATTTATTCATCTTAGCGACATTTTGGCAGTCTTGCAAGTAGTGTCTTTTAGAGTTTCGTCGTGTCTTGTGCCTTAGCGTGTTGTTCGAGTAATTGAGAAAGTATTGTTGGCCCGAAGGAGTAAAACTGGCACGCGAGGTACCTTAGCTGGTTGACGTGGTGCTGTATGTAGTAGTTTACTCCGTGTGTAAATGTATCTAATTTTAATGTGCGCTGCTGATTGACTAAACTGGTGCAGACTGCCCAAGTATACGCATATCAATCGCGCCCGCGGGTGCAGTTCAACCTTCGCAGGGCCTAGGTTCCGATTGCGCCGACTCCCAGCTACCGCTGCGACACTGGCTTCGCTGGGTGAAGCGCTTTTTTCTTTTTTTTGTTTCTTCATGTGCTGGAGGGGAGAGAGAGCCGGTGTGCGTCGGCGAAACCCAAAGTTCAAAACTGGGTTCGCGCCGATTAGGCGTTCTCGGCGTATACGGCGTGTTGCAGCAAAATTCAAAGTACTGGGCAAAGCCCACAGCATCTTCTTTCACACACGGGTGCGCCCTTCCGCAACCATCCTGAGGAAACTTAGCATGATGCTTGCGCGCGAGCGTCATTTTTACACGAAACACGCCGCCCCCGACTGCGTTTGGTGGAATTCCAACACACCACTTGACGTACGGTCTGATACGGGCATTTCCAGTTTGTGTGCCAAGTTTCATGTGGATCTGTGCGGTCTGCGCTGCGTTCTCGTCGTCGGACGAAACACGCCCTCGGCCAGGGGTAGGTTGGGCCGCATCCAAAAGTGCCAGGTATTTGCCTCCGAACTTCGAATTCTTCTTTTGTCACGTTCGCGGGCCACAGGCCATGAAACTCGACCAAACAAGGGTCAGAAGACAGTAAATAACTAGCTCTACGGTGTCAGGGTCTTAGTTTGGTGTGGTGTGTCGTTGCCGGAACGCACAGCAGCCCCAAAGGTGTTTCGACAAACGCCTCCATATATCCTGTGCGCAGCACTGAACTAAACACCACCTTCGTGGGGGCACGACGAATAGATGTAAACACATATACACGGTATTTACAATATACGGTTTGCGTACCCCCAGGTTTGAAGCCTGTGTTCCGTTCTTCTCGCACACACGAAGAACGCAATACACACCGAGGCTATTCCCACTACAGAAGGATAAAACATGAGCGATGGCAGAGCTGAAGAGGTGCAGAAGGCGCAGCTTGCGGAGCAAGCAGAGCGGTGAGCAGCAATCCGTCTCTTGCCCCCGAACAAACTGCACTGCTCCTCATGAATTGCACGCGAGGGGTTATGACCTCTTCGACCGTTTAAAAATGTTCTGATGTTCAGGTGTGGGTTGTGCCATGTGGGTGCCAGGGTTGTGCCTCCCAAGAAGAGAGGAGCGCAGTGGCGCCAACGTGCTCATCACCGCACGATGGCGGGCTTTCCGCTGCTGTTTTTGAGTGTGCGCGCCACAGCACCCCCTCCGCCGCTGGTACATCTACATTGCTCAAAAGAGTAGCCAAACGAGTCTGTGCACTTTGTGCGCGAGTCTATTGGAGATCTTGAGCAGCAGCTACGCGTATAAAATCCAACAGCAGTGCCAATGTGGCAACCCCTGATCCTCTCCACCCTTATTACCCTGTCCGAGGAGGCTCCCGATCTCCGCAATCGGCACTCGATCCCAATCGTCAGGTGACTGGCTTGGAAGCGTTCTCACAAGTTTACACCCATAGATCAAGTGCAACCAAGTCCCCCCAAACCTGTAACCGCCATTTTTTGTGCCCTCTGTTTTTCCAACGGTACTCTTCGTGAGCTCCACCCCTCACTCCACCAACACTACCACTGCTGTGCTACTGATGCTGTCACGTCAATCCAAGAAGCACGGATGCGTTCCGCTGTTCACCACCGCGCCGTGAGTGCGCGTGCGGCTGGTAGGCGAAGCCCTTCCGAGCTTCCGTTTCGAAAACATCATGACCGCAGTAGCAGCAGCGGCAGCATTTGCACGCTCTGGATGGTTGCCGGCTTTAGCCGGCCGCCTGTAGCCAGCGACGCAAGAAAGTCGTCTTGCCTAAAACACAGAGTTACCCTCGTTTGCTTGCTGGTGTCGCCTAAATACAGATATATTGCATCGCTGTCCCCTGTGTTCTTCTGCCTGTACGCAGAAGATACGGCATCGCCGACGTGTTGTAGTGGAAGTTTTGCGTTTTTTTTTTTGTTCGGGTTCTCACGTTCCCACGTCGTCTCGACACGGCGGAAGGTGTCTTGCGTTTCGTCCCCTCTTTGGGTTGTGTATCTGATATGCGTACCACAGCAGCAGACTCAACATAAGCCCAGCCCCGTATCATTCCCCCCTTCTCTGCCACCACTTGAGACTTCATTTCGTCCCTTCTACCTGGGGTAATACTGTCGTGGCTCCGATATATGATGGTACAGTAGATAGAGGTCCCTGTTTAGAATGGTGCCGGTTGAATAGTGCCGGTTGAATAGTGTCGGTTGCCGGTATAGTGCCGGTGTTTTGGGCTCTCACACACTGGAATATCAATTCGTTCTGTACTTTGAATAGTGCCGGTGCCCGGTATAGTGCCGGTGAAATTTTCGCGCACACCCCGGCACTAAACAGGGACCTCTGCTGTTCCTTATAAGAGGGGGCTCCGATACAAGGGGGTCCTGGGCCTTACTACACTATTAGGAGTGTAACACTGTATATCGAACGGGTTTCAGCTGTTGTACAAATGCATACTTGTATGTGCACTTCGGTACTTTTTGTGAGCAACGATCTTTTCCCCTGGGCTCTTAAGAAACTGCGTTCGTTCACGATAACAGAAAAAACTTGATGAAGGGAATTCCGCTGAAAACGTGTCCCATTGTTTTTATGATTCAAGTGCAACTGCTGTACTGCCGTTTACGGCTTTTGTTGGGCGCATGCACCTTTCTCAAAGAAAAATCTATGTTCATGATCCAAGTGACTCTCCTTTCACCCACAGGTGTACAGCAGCACCACTGCGTACGAGACCCGACTAACGAGAGTCCTGATACACTTTTGTCCGCAAGGCAAATCAGAGGAGATGCCGACCAAAACGAGCAAGTTCGTGGAACGAAGCCTGTCCCTCGCAAGTTTTTTCCGGGCCCACGATCCCCCCAAAACCTTGGGCATACTAGTACATTTCGCATGTTTTGTTCATCTGGAAAAGGGGTTGCGATCGCCGACCAAATTGAGCGTTTTGTCTCTAGCGTGAGAGCCACGCAGGGCCTCTGCTGTAGGACATTCCAAAGCTTACGCTGTATCGCTGCCCTCGAGGGTGCGGGAGGAAGAGCCCCTCGAAGGAAAAGTGCCAAAGGAAGGACCAGCATGTCTGTCGCCCTGGCACCAATACGCACTGCTAGTAGTAGTCTACGTCACAGGCGTTTGTGAATACCAACGGGAAGGGCATGTCTGTCGCCCTGGCACCATTACACACTGCTAGTAGTAGTCTACGTCACAGGCGTTTGTGAATACCAACGGGAAGGGCATGTCTGTCGCCCTGGCACCATTACACACTGCTAGTAGTAGTCTACGTCACAGGCGTTTGTGAATACCAACGGGAAGGGCATGTCTGTCGCCCTGGCACCATTACACACTGCTAGTAGTAGTCTACGTCACAGGCGTTTGTGAATACCAACGGGAAGGGCATGTCTGTCGCCCTGGCACCAATATGCACTGCTAGTAGTAGTCTGCGTCACAGGCGTTTGTGAATACAAACGGGAAGGGCGGTAGCTTGCTATGCTATGCTGTGCTATACTATGCACGTCATTCTTAATATGTGTAGCTACATCGAAGGCCGCTTTGGCTGTGCTGCTCCTTTGCTGTTGTTGTTGCTGCTACCATCTAATTTATTCTGGACGTCAATGTCGGCAAGACGTTGGCGTTATCAATTCCATCCTGAGGTTTATGTACGACGTTCGATGAGACATGCCAGACAAGTGGATGACGGCACAGACGTTAGGCCGAGGATAAGACACTCTTCCCTTCCCAACGACGCGGCAGCAAGCAGTATGTGAAGTAGTGCGCAAGAGCCAAAGTCCGCGAACAAGCGCTACGGGAACTCAGCGTAGCACCCCACCCACCCGATAATAATCCATTCTGTGAGGAACCCCCCCCCCCCCCCCCC